TGAGCAGATGGCAACTGGTAGATGTTCTTTATCTCAAAAACGAGAGCTGATAGGATAAACGGATGCCATTTTTCAAATCAGCAGGTCAAATACACCCTTAAAGAGCTGCAACATTTGAGACATCAAAATGTGTGTTGGCCTGTGTAATCCATGAAGGAGATCTGATAGGATATTTAGCATGCCTATTGAGAAAATATGCTTTGGTTTGGTGTCTTGTAGTAATTCTGAGTTAAGTGTGGACTGTTGCCTTAGCTTGCATGTGTTGCCAAATAAATATTATCCAAATTGACTGGTTTAGCAGCAAAACACAAATCATTGTTCTATTACCGATATTTGAAATGGCTATACAGCATGCTCTTGACTAGGTATTTCCTTTTAATCCAGTTTTATCTGAAGCATGTCAGGTTTCCAGACTGTAGCACATACTCTACACTAGTGGTAATAATTTGAAACGCTAGTCCCCATCCTTTCAAGGATTAAGAGTTTAACTCCTGAGCAGTTTGTGGTTGCAGAGATATAGTGATTTCAAATTGGGGCCATCTTTTTGAAAAACCTTGTATCTTTGCTCTAGTCCTAATAAATTTTGATGAAGAACATACCCATTTCTGAAATAAAACATTCATTTTTTTTTTCTTGAGAAGAGTTTGGGTGCTACCCTCTTACTTCCTGGCTATCAGTGGGAGTTATATAGCAGTTAATTTGCATGTCTGCCATGAAGTGATGATAGAGTTATACACATTTCTAACATTTTCAGTGCTGTGGATCGTATGCAAAGGCTGGGTAGTCAGACCACAGCAGGGCCCTCCCAGATTGCTGGTAGATCAGAGCCTAGAGAGTGAGTAACTCAGCAGGCAATACTGTCATGGTGCACTTGTTGGCTCAGTTAGCATTATTAACCCTTCTTGCCCTTGGCAGCTACTGCTAAGTACCTGCTGAGACGTGGTGGGTCCTAGTCTCCTATTTCCATTGCATACCTATAAATTCCTCAAAGAGACAGGTTTGATGGTATATGCTACTAATGAGGTGCTAATGAGTGCTTATTATCTTTTAGTTCCATAGAGAAGTGGCTTTAGGCCAAAAATCAGTTTCTTTCCCCCTTCCCACAAATGGGAAGTTAAATTTTCTTGCTGTAAGAATATATTGGGTTTTTTTATTATTATTATTGTTATTATTATTATTATTATTAATAATAATAATAATACCCCACTTTATCTCTTCCAAAGGAGACTCAAAGCCGCTTAACATAAAAGCATTAGCATACAATTTAAAATATAAAAATATGCAAACATTAAAACAGTATTAAATATAAACTGTATTAAATATAGTGACATGACAACTATGGGATCAGCTCACTGATCTTGAAGGGAGGTGTGATTTGTGTTTAGTTCCTTTTTTCCTTGAATGCTGGTCAGTCCTTCCCCAAATGCCAGACAGTACTTATATTGATTGTTTCTTTGTTAAATACGTGCCTCTAGAATACAGGAACAGACTCCTTTGTGAACAGAACTGCCTGGCACCACATGATATTATTATTAACTTTTAGTAGCTGAATTGTTATTGCCATCTTTTGTAAGCTTCAAATGGTCCAGTGGGCGGCTGCCAGGTTGTTAAATAGGAGCAGTGTTCGGGGAGCATACAACTCCTCTGTTGTGCCAGCTCCACTGGCAGCCAGTTTGCTACAGGCACAATTCTAAGTGCTGGCTTTAGCCTATGAAGCCCTAAATGGTTCCAGCCCAGCTTACCTGTCCGAAGGTATCTCTCCTTATGAACCATCTAGGAACTTAAGATCGTCTGGGAAGTCCCTGCTCTCGATCCTGCCCTCTTCGCAGGCATATTTGGTGAGAACGAGAGAAAGGGCCTTCTCAGTGGTGGCCCCTTGGCTGTGGAATTCCTTCCTAGGGATATTAGATCGATCCCCATCCCTCCTGACTTTCAGAAAAAAAGTAAAAAACTTGGCTCTTTGAACAAGCGTTTGAAACTGCAGCATAATAGATAAACAGTACTATGAAAGGGTGAACATGGAACGGCTTAAAACGATGCTAATAGAAAATTAGTTTAACTGGAGAGGACATTGGTTATTACAATTTTAATGGTTTTTATATGGATTTTATTATGTTATGTTAAATGTTTTAAATGGTATTTATGTTTGTTTGTGGCATTGAATTGCTGCCAAATTTGTATGCCGCCTTGAGTCATCTTTGGGCTGAGAAAGGCAGGATAGAAATACTGTAAATAAATAAATAAATAAACAAAGCTTGAAGGAATATGGGAATAGCCTTGTCCATCTGTTCACTTGAGCTCAGCCATAAGAGCACCCATGAGCTGTTGTTGTAGCATCAGGGATATACCAGAGTGAGTCACTGTCTTTCATCATTTACTTGAATGTGAGCCAACTCCAAAAAAATCAATAGGTGGCATAATCAAGAAAGCTGCTTTTCCATTGCTTGTTGGCTGACTTACATAGACATTCACATACAAACAACATACCCCACACCCTGTTTGTCTCACTTAGCAATGCCTCACAGAAAAGCCCAAACATGGCCACATAACTAAGCTCTTGTTTTCTTTCAATGGACTGCTAGAATAGCTTTGTCCATAGCAGCTGTGAATTTCAGTCGTTTGCTTGAAATAATTTGACAAAGGCTTGAAGCTATTTGTTGTGAATAATCACAATAGTAGTGAGTGTAGCATCTCATAACAGTTCATATTCATATTTCAACAATCCTTACGGGGTAGGTCTTTTATGTTCTGGAGATGAGGCGCTGTGTCTAACATTTACTTGTCCAAAGCTCCTTGGTGGGTTCATAGCTAAACCCAACTGAGTCATCCATTTTATCACTCTGTTAAATCAGCTCTCATGAGATTATTTCATGATCATCAAGCTTAAACTATTAACAGCAGAAATGTGAGAAGTGTGTTTTGTAGGCAGGTTGCGAAAAGCGGTGTTATCAATTCCTGAGCTATTTTAGACCTAGTTAAAGTTGCTAAGGTCTGCTTGGTCCGTTTAATCCTTAATGCTGCCATCTTTCTACACTCTTAAGAAAACATGTCTAAAAAGGCTAGTCAGATTTTATTTTGATGGTCCACCTCAAGCTCTAAGCCATTGCTGCTAACTAGCTGAGCTAATGGCCATCTTGCAGGGCTGTAGTTTTCACACTGTGTTTATTTTATTAAATTTATATCCCACAGTTCCACATAGAACATCTAACAATGAACAAACACAAAGCAGCAAAGGCTGCACAGCAGCACCCAACCAATTAAACCTTCTTCTACTTCATCTGCAATATAGTTTACATGCTTAAACCCTTTTCATTCCACTGGCAGAAAAACAGAAAGGCAGGCAGTCCGACCACACTTGATAGGTAGTTCCAGAGCCACGGTAAGACTGATTTTTTTGTTGTTGCTGTTCAGCCCATGCACAAAACAGATAGGAAGTTTCCCCACACACCCACTGATCATAGTCATTCCTCTCAACACAGAAAACTGTTTTGGAAGTTGGTCTTTCTAATGCATGGGCCCAGATACTAATTGGTACATACCTATGGTTGTCACAAAATCTGGAGTGACAAAATGCTCCCGAAAGGACAACTCCAACATTAATAATAATAATAATAATAATAATAATCCTTTATTTATACCATCTCCCGAAGGACTCGGTGCGGCTTACAAGAGGCCGAGCCCAAATACATCAGTAAAACACAACAACAACAGTACAATAATAAAAAACTCATAAACAAAGCAAAAAACATTAACAATAACACCGTGGCGTATTAAAACCTGTGGCAGGGCCAAATGTAGTACTTAAAATCTTTAAAAGTGCTGGGCATGATCAGGTGAAATAGGATAGATATTTTAGGGATTGGTATTTTAGGGATTCATGTTGAAAACCGACTAACTAAATGAATCTCATCATGGCTACTGACACTATCTTGGCTTACTTGTGAAGGGTCATCGACATCCCTCCTCTCTTTTAGAAGGAAACTAAAAACATGGATATGGGACCAGGCTTTTGGGTAATCTGGCAGATAGACAAAGGACAACGATGACTAGAATTGATAGGATTTGACAATGTGGAATGAATTTATGGATTCTGAGCTGGTGAAGGTTGAGCATTAGATTGGCTTTATTGATTGTGATGTATAATTTATTGTTTTAATTGTTTATAATTGCTGTTTATATATGTTTTATTTTATTGTTTGTGCTGGCATCGAATTGTGCCTTTTGTAAGCCGCCCTGAGTCCCCCCTCGGGGGTTGAGAAGGGCGGGGTAGAAATGTGCTAAATAAATAAATAAATAAATAAATAAAGGGAGACTGTGGACTAGCAGAAGTTCTGTTCTGCTGAGTCGCTTGCTTTCAGACATAGATACTCAAAACTGAAAAACTGGAATGGGAAACTGATGAAGTGTGTACAATAACAACAACAACAACAACAACTTTATTCTTATACCCTGCTACCATCTCCCTGAAGGGACTCGGGCAGCTTACATATGCAACAGAATGTCCACAAGACATAAAAACAAAGCAAAAACACAATAAAATAGAAATAAAGTAAAATATAACAATCCAGATAAAAAACACAAATAAAACATAAGAATATAAAATAGCGGCATTGAAACTCCATCAAAACAATGCTTGACTAAAACCAATAACCAGAAATACTAAAAAGGGTGTGAACAGGCTATAAAAAAGGCCAGGTGTGGAATAGTGCAAAGCAGCGTACCACAGGGCCAGGGAGTTGGATGAAGAACAGGGAACAGAGTACTATCTGGAGAACTAAGGACTGGGCATATATAACTAGGGACTAATCATTCTCAAATGCTTGGTGAAACATCCAGGTTTTCAAATCTCTGTGAAAGGAGGGCGGTGTGGATCTTGCCTAATCTCCTTGGGGAGTCATCTGGTTTACTTGTTTGATTTCCCTAGTGTGAATACAGTTTACCAATGTGACAAGTGCAGAATTGGGACCATTGTACTAACTGTAACATCATAATTCTTTCAGGTATTATTTCCGAAACTGGCATGGGACAAATGACAAGGAGCCAGCTGTATATCGCAATGCTCCTCGCTCAAATGACTCAGAGGATAAGTCTCAAAGGGGTGAACAAGGCAATGCCATACTGGATAAATCATCGTTTGAGTATCTCTTTGAGCAAGTATGAAGCTTTGTTGATATTATTCTGTACAAATTAAGTCTACTGTGAGTCAAGGGCAATATCTCCCCACTTCCTCCTTCTGCCATTGCAACTTGATTTTTTAAATATTCTGAATAAAGCTGGCAGACTTAAATACTCTTTGGGTTCTGAAGCCATTAGAACGCCACCCCACATTGGAGAACAGTGCTACTTGTATCTCAGCTCTCTACTGGCTACCGTTGGCACCATAGACCACAGAGTGCTTCAAATAATGCTGCAATGAAGTGCCTAGAAAGTAAAGAACTGCAGACACCAAATCCTGGAACCTAGATGCCAGATCAAGTTTGATTATAGACAGTAGTTCTGGAGTATGAAATCAGGAAGCAGAGACCATGATGGAATGAAGTGATAGGGAGCAATAATAGATAAAATTAACTGTGGGAGTTTTAGTGAGTTTCACAGACCAGCACAGAACATACAATTAACCAGGGCATGTCAAGAAAGGGTTGAAGGACTCTAGTTGCCAGAAGAAGATCATCAGTTGTCAATAGATCACTGTTCAGGTTGCCCACCCCTAAATGTAGCCATATTTCGGTACTTACTTACTTTACTTAGGCGATCCCTCATTGGTCGAGTAGGATAGTCTTCCAGGATCAGTATTCTTGTGGGTCCATAGGTGACTGTGGAGCCCTATTCTTGATCGGCATCTTCTCCTGCAGTGAGGGCATTGGTTTCCAGGTGGAAGGCGGTCTCGGTCAGGGTTGGTTTGATGCGCCTTCCTCTTGGCACATTTCTCTCTTTCACCCTCCATTCGTGCCTCTTCAAATTCTGTAGCACTGCTGGTCACAGCTGACCTCCATATTTCGGTATTCTTTATCTTGTGCTAGTTCCGAGTAAGATAACCTCCTGCAGAAAACATAAAAGCTGCTTTCTCCATATTATTAGGCATGCTAATTTCTTTCTATTCTCATTTGAAGCCCCTCTGTGAGCAAAATCCTTTTTGAAACCTTCTGATTTGCAAATCTGCTTCCCTCAATTTTGCTCTTGGTTATTCTTTTCCAGGGTAAATATGACTTCATCAATGATGTTGCCTCCCTAAAAGATCTTCGTACAGAGCAGGAGATTCACCAGTTTAAAAATGAGAGCCTTGGGATGGCTGTCCTCCATCTCTGCCACATTGCCCTCAAGAGTGGTGTCTCCCTTGAAGAAGTGGCTCAGAGAACAAGGTGATTCCAAGGGTGGTGAAAGTCAAAGACACGTGTTCCCCAGGCATATAAAATTAAATTCGTATTGATAGGGTTGCAGATATTGTTCATGGTGAAAACATCATGTATTTATCAGACAATGTTTCTGCATTGCCTTAAGTTGCAATTCAAAAGGATAGATTAGGATTTCCCATTGTGCCTTGTGACTGAATATCTAATTCTCCCAACTGATCATATTGAGTTAATCTAAGAAATGTGGTTGACTAGAATGAAGGCTCACAAGCAAAATATTGAAATAATAATAATAATAATAATAATAATAATAATACTTTATTTATACCCCGCTCTATCTCCCCCAGGGGGACTCGAGGCGACTTACATGAGGCCACGCCCATCAGTACAGTAAACACAATATATAACACAAAAGCATAACAGAACAAAAAATAAAATACATAAAATGCAAAACCAATATAGTAAACAACACAGCAATATAAAATCAACATTAAACACAAAAGGATTACAGTGGGCAGGCCCAAATTCAAAGATAAAAATTTTAAAACACTGGGAGATTGGGCAATGTAAATTTTTGGGAACGGGGATCCAGGATGAGGAGGGATTAAATTGCACGAACCATAAGATAAAGTGCATAAGATAAATAGCAGTCATTCTTATAATTTGACTCCCAGCAACTGGTAATTAGAGGTAAACTGCATCTGAATTTGATGGGTTTCATTTAGCTGTCATGGAAAACTAATCTTGCTGGAATTATTCCTGTGTGGGGAGGTCTCCCAATATACAGTGCAAGAAACGACAGCAAGTCCCTGAAAGTTTAAAGGTCCTGTGTCTTCCCATGCACACTAATTTATTACCACTGTTGTGTGAAGTGGATTTCATACGTCTAAGTATCTCACTGTAGGAGGCAGAGTTTCAGCTTTATCATGTGAGAGATGGGATGCAGAAAACATCTTACACTTGTAGAAAATCCCGAATTGAATCTCTGGCATCCCCAGTTAAATAATTTTGGGTATGAGAGCTCGAAAAGACCTCAATTTGGATAAGATTTATCATCATGTTAACCACATCTGTATGTGTGTGTGTGTGTGTGTATACACACACATTTGTTGACACATCTGGGTTGATTGGCACAACAATAAAACAATCTTGAAAAGAGGCATTTTATGCATATATGGTACAGTGGGGAATTGCTAATTGGCTTTTTGCATCCTTCTTAGCTTCAAGGAGTGCATCCCACGTTCCTTTTGCCGTCAGATTCAGCAGAACAACTATCTGACAAAGTTTCGCATAAGGAATGTTTTCAGGAGGTTCTTGCAGCGCTTCCAGCGGCACACAGTGAGCACCGGCAAGCTGACGGAGCAGGATATAATGCACAAGTATCTGGCCACTTTGGAGAACTTGGCCCCTCGTTTTGGGAGTGAGGTTTTTGCCATCCTCTCCTTGGAGACAGTTTCAGAGGGTGAGAAGGTGCCACTTTATATCAATGGTGGCCATATGCACCTGGAGAACTCTCACGCCTCACTTCCCAGTGACAAGCCTGCCACCCATGAGGTTTTGGTCACAGGCACTGATGGCATTCAGTGGAGACCTATTTCTCCTGAGGTAGGATAACTTGTTAGAGAAAGGCGATGTTAATAATAATAATAATAATAAGGTAAGACATTATTGCATCCAGCTCAATGTGGGTATTTAAAAATATATAATCAGAGCTAGTTAGATATGGAGAGGGTAATTACTGGGCTGCTGATGTTGCTTTGTACCTTTGAGTTGATTTCAACTTGTGGCGACTGTACAGGGTTTTCTGAGCAAGATTTATACAAACTATGTTTGCCACTGGCTTCCTTTATTGCTGAGATAATGTGTATACCCAAAATATTTATGGCCAGACAAGGCATAGAAACCTGGCATCCTATATGGCCCCTTCTACACTGCCATATAGAATCCAGATCATCTGCTTTGATCTGGATTATATGGCAGTGTGGACTCATATCATCCAGTTCAAAGCAGATCATGTGGATTATCTGCTTTGATAATCTTGATTATATGACAGTGTAGAAAGGGCCATATTCAACACTCAGACCATTGAATCACATTACCACATTGATTTTTATGTTACTGACTTTTTTGTTTGTATTGCTTTTAGTTTTTCTAGCTGTTTGAGGGAGGGGAAGGAATACATTTAACTGAGAAACAAATATGGGGAAAACGTTATTGAGGATATTAGAGACAAGATAATTATTTCTTTCTATTTGCAGCATGTAATAAATATGGCTTTTTTATCTAGGAAGGTAGATTTTAAATGATAGATTGTAACATATCTCTTCCTGAATGAAATAGCCATTCATTTTGAAGACTTTGACAAACAAAATTGTTTTCATTATACTGAGTAATGTCCTTTCCACTCCCCATTTGCTATCTTTTGTTTATCTTCCAGCCTTAAGAATTCTATGAGCCATTCCACTTGCTTGTATTTATTTTAATTTGTTGTTATAGAGCTATAATAATATTTAAATATTTCCACCTGCTCATGGCCCAAAATAGCGATAAGCCTTTGTATATCTTAGCCACAGAACGGTGGCCTAGTTGACACAGAAGGAAAGCTTTAGTTTGTTTAAAAAGCTGGTCATCCACATTGCAGTAGTAAAATAAAATGGATTTATAGGACACATGTATCTTTAAGATTCCGAAAGTAAAGAGTATATCTAGAAGAAGTATATCTGAAAACATTGTCCAGGTTTTTTTTCTGTCTATGCTCCTCTGTGCTGTGGTGGGACAGCTAGCCTAAATTTACTTTTTTCACAGCTGTAATATTGGAATCAGTGTTGAGAGGTGCTAACATATCTTTGTCTTGCAGAGATTGCAAAACTATCCTCACAGAGGTTATTTGAGCAGGAAGGTGAAGATGAAAGACTATAAATCCAAGGGTTCCTACCAGTCAGGGGAACACTATGAACCCAAATGGTCACATTTTTGTGACTTCCAAGAGATCACACACATTGTTGTGAAAGACTGCAAAGTCAGCATTCATCGTCAAGACAATAAGTGCCTGGTAGGTGGTGGCTTGCTCTTCTGCTACAGGTATTAATTACCAGATATTATTATCTGTCCTAGTGATACCAGTATAAATGGGCGGGGAAGGAGCTGAACAAAAACTGGTATATGGCTGTGGTAAATAATTTTGTGTTAATGGGGCAGCAGGTCAAGGTTTTTTAGGGAATGCAAGAAAGGGGGCAAGCAGTGGTGATGTACAATTGGCCTTCTGTATCTACAGATGCAACTATACATTCCTTGTAATATGGTTTGCTGATTTGTCTTTATAGCATAACAAGATATGTTGCATTATCTATATAAATAAAAATGTAATGTTCATTTGTGGTATTAACAGAACTCAAAAACCGGTGGGCCAACTGCCACCAAATTTGGACAGCATACACCTAACAACCCAATGTATGTCCTTCACTCAATTTTTTTTATTTTGTCATTTGGGAGTTGTAGTTGCTGGGATTTACAGTTCACCTACAATCAAAGAGCATTCTGAACTCCACCAATTATGACATTGAACCACACGTGGCATACAAGACTCCCATGACCAACGGAAAACACTAGAAGGGTTTGGTGGGCATTGACCTTGAGTTTGGGAGTTGTAGTTCACCTACATCCAGAGAGCACTGTGGACTCAAACAATGATGGATCTGGACCAAACTTTGCACGAATACTCCATATGCCCAAATATGAACACAGATGGAGTTTGGGGAAAATAGACCTTGACATTTGGGAGTTGCTTGGTTGCTTGGATTTATAGTTCATCTACAATCAAAGAGCATGCAGAACCCCACCAAAGACAAAATTGGGGCAAACTTCCCACACAGAATCCCACACAGAATCCCCATACTTAAGGCCATTCAGTCCAACTCCCTTCACCAGGGAAAGAAAACATAATCAAAGCCCTCCTGACAAAGAGCCATCCAGTTATAGATATAGATAGATATATATGATTTACACACACAGAGATATAGTATCATAGATTTGAAAGGGACCTCCTAAAGAAGGACTATGATATGTTGCATATTCCAGAGTAGGCAAACCACACACTTGCCACATCAACACTGACAAAGAAACAACAAGAAATACTGTTTACCCACAAGCATAAAGTGATTACATATATTACACACCAACACTTTCTCCTTACTTTATTTTCCAGATCACCCGACTAGGCCACAGCAACGCATGGCAGGGAACAGCTAGTAAAAAATAAAAATAAATAAATAACTTCATTCTTGCAACAACAAAAAAAACCCAAACCTATCCATGCCTTGAAAATATTTTTTGAAAATTCCCAAAGCAAATGTGGGTTGCCATTTTATATAGGGGCTTAATTTTCTATGTCACTATATATATAATGAGAATTGAGCACTCATAGATTTGGGTATCCATTGGGTATCCCAGAGGATACCAAGGACCCACTTTACTTCAAATATTCAAGATATTGTTTCCCTGGGACTTTTAATTTTTCCCTGGGGCTTTTAACCCATCATTATGACTCATAACTATTATGCTTTCTTTTCTTTTTTTTTCTTTTTGTTCAGGAGCTGACTCTTTTTTCCCATGATGTTGCCCTCTCCTTAGTTTCACTGGTAGATGGTTACTTCAGATTGACAGCAGACTCTAGCCACTATCTGTGTCATGAAGTAGCCCCACCACGGCTGGTTATGAGCATACAGAATGGCATCCATGGGCCCATGCAGTAAGTGGCATCTACTTCAGCTGCCAGACATTCTGTTGTCACATCTGATTTGAGACTAGGTATTTCCACAGATGCTTTGAAGTTCTCTCTCTTTTTCTCTCTAGTGAGGAATTCATTTTGGCTAAGCTAAAACGGGAGAAGCAGGAAGATGGTCTATACATTCTACGTTGGAGTGTTCTCGATTATAGTAGATTGATATTGTCAGTTATGAGGAGAGACCAGGTAAGGCTGCCATTGGAGATTTATGTGACACAGAGAGGAGTTGGAAATGCATGCTAAGCAGATGGGAAGTGGAAGTTCTCAAGATAGTTCTCAACGGTGGCTTTCCTGTTATGCACCTGGAAGCACAAACTATGATTTGGTTTTGGTGTCATTGTGGAGTTTGATTAATAGTTCTGGCCCAACTTATCTATCCGAACGTATCTCAGCCTATCAGCCCACCAGGACCCTAAGATCTTCTGGAGAGTCCCTTCTCTCTATCCCTCCAGCTTCAGAAGTGCGGCTGGTGGGAACGAGAGACAGGGCCTTCTCTGTGGTGGCCCCCCGGCTTTGGAACACCCTCCCTATAGAGGTACGATCAGCCTCTTCGCTGATGGTGTTTAGGAAGAGATTGAAAACATGGTTGTTTAAACAAGCATTCGGCTAATCTGTGGCAATCGAATTCTGGTGACTAAGGACAGGAAAATATGGACAACGAATTCTGGATTATGATTTTAATTCGAGATATATGGGATTATTATTGGTGGCCCAATAATTTGTATTGTATGTGTATATGTTTTTAAATTGTAGATTGTTTTTTAATTGCTGTAAACCGCAATGAGTCGCCAATCCAGGCTGAGATATTAGCGGTATACAAGTGTATTAAATAAATAAATAAATAAATAAATTAAATAAATAGGACAGCTAAAATTATGAAGCTGCTTTTGCGGCATGTCTGTGTCTGGCAGCCATGGCCTGAAAAATTAGATTTGCTAGTGAAACTATATTCTGAGGCATTGCCATATCTCAGCATTGTAAGACAATTTTTATTTGCCTCCGGCAAACAGAGATAGAGATATTAAAACACTTAAATTAACATGAGTGCATTTCTAAGAAACTTTAAGAACATTAGTGATACAGAATAAGCTATATTATTAATTATTATCTTGCATATTTTTGTGTAATAACATTAGAGTGTGCACTTTATTATAGCTGATGCCAGAGAAACTGAAAACTAATAAAATGTATTGTTTTTATTTTAGATAGGCAACTACTCGGCTGTACCTTTTTTCTTGATCTTTTACTGACACCAAGATTGTCTTCAAGACATATTAAAAGAGCCACATAGCTGAAAAAAGCAATCCCGAATTACGTCTTGAATGTTCCCCACGTGTAATGAACACCTTTCCCCAATGTAGTCAGAATTATTAAAATTTATTTTAATCAGTTGCAGAGCTTGGGGCATTTGTCTGGACATTCCTATTTGCTTGATTTACTTCTGAATGTTACCATGACAGAAGGTATTGCCAGAATACAGCATCTGATAACACTCTGTAACACAATTTTTGTTCCTGGGTTATCAGTGTTATTTCCTAATTGGTTCTATCATTAAAACGTGTCAAAAGTTTATTAAACTATTAAAATGTTGTTTTTACTTAACACTCTGCAGCACATTTTGCTATAGACTTTCAATGAATATCTTATTGAGTCTCAACCAATTCAACGTAGTTTATGGCAGCCACAAAAATGAGGTTTCTGGAGTATAACAAACAGGAAATAACACTTTCAAACCAGGAACAGATTTTTTTTCAAAAAAAGTTACATAGTGTAATCATTTACAAGATGACCCTGCTTAGTGGGCCACTTTTAAAAGAATCAGCATGATTAATATGCTTTTATTTATTTATTTATTTATTTATTTACTTTGCTTATATACCGCTGTATCTCAAGCCCGAAGGCGACTCACAGCGGTTCACAAACAGTAAAAACAGTAGAAACAGCAGTGGTTCCATACAACATATAACAATTGACTTAACACATTATCCATAAATTACCAATAAGCAATTACAATGCACAATTATTATGAAAAACAACTGTACCCAATCTTCTCATTATCCAAGCGTAGTCCAGGTTCGTCGTCCATTGTTCCATTCCTATATTCCATTACCAGATTGCACTAAATTACTCAAACGCCTGCACAAACATCCAGGTCTTCACCTTTTTGCGGAATACCATTAGAGATGGTGCTAGTCTAATGTCCGTAGGAAGGGCGTTCCACAGCCGAGGAGCCACCACCGAGAAGGCCCTCTCTCTCGTCCCCGCCAGCCGAGCTTGAGAAGCAGGCGGGATCGAGAGCAGGGCCTTCCCGGAAGATCTCAAAGTCCTGGTGGGTTCATAGGCAGAGATGCGGTCAGATAGGTAGCTTGGCCGGAACCGTTTAGGGCTTTAAAGGCCAACGCCAGCACTTTGAATTCAGCCCGGTAGCAGATCGGTAGCCAGTGGAGTTGGCGCAACAGGGGGGTTGTATGCTCCCTGCGCTCCGCTCCTGTTAAAATCATGGCTGCCGAGCGTTGGACTAGTTGGAGCTTCCGAGCTGTCTTCAAAGGCAACCCCACATAGAGAGCGTTGCAGTAGTCTAAACGGGATGTAACCAGAGCATGGACTACCGTGGCCAAGTCAGACTTCCCAAGGTACGGGCGCAGCTGGCGCACAAGCTTTAGCTGTGCAAATGCTCCCCTGGTCACCGCCGAAACCTGGGGTTCCAGGCTCAGCGATGAGTCCAGGGTCACACCCAAGCTGCGAACCTGCGTCTTCAGGGGGAGTGCGACCCCATCCAACACAGGCTGTAACCCTATACCCTGTTCGGCCTTGCGACTGACCAGGAGTACCTCTGTCTTGTCTGGATTCAATTTCAATTTGTTCGCCCTCATCCAGACCGTCACACCGGCCAAGCACCGGTTCAGGACCTGGACAGCCTCCTTAGTAGCAGGTGGAAAGGAGTGACAGAGTTGGACATCATCCGCGTAGCAGTGAGACACTGTTAGACGAACTATGGTGATCTAGTTGGAATAGTTGTCTGACTCAACAGGATTCATATTTGTCAAGAATTAAGAATCATGTTCATGTCTTCTTGTTGCTTGTGGTCTCACTGACCACAAGCAGCAGAAGCCAAAGACATGCTTCTTAATTCTTGAGAAAACTTTTTAAATGCCTCTTGTTAGTTTACTTTGAAGGCAGATGTGCCCCATAGTTTGCATGTAATTGTTTTAGTTATTTATAAATAGTTTTGAGTACATTATGAAATAAAATTTGAAAAAAAAACTCTGTTCCTGGTTTCAAAATATTATTCCTGCTTTAATTGTGCAGTACATATTTTGAAAGTAGTTGTTAAACTCCAGAAACTTTGTTTTGTGGTTGCCACAAACTATGTTGAATTAGTTGAGGCTCAAGATATTTATTAGAAAAATAATGCAAAATGTGCAAAGTTTTTGTAGCTTAATAAATTTTTCCCATATTTTTATGATAGAACCAATTAGGAAATGACATTTACTTATAACCCAGGAACAAAAATAATTATACACAGTGTTATTTATAATGGGTTTGACTAATCTTTTAAAATAGTCCTAGGATTAATTTATTGTAATATTTATTGTGTTTAGGTTTTAAATTGTATATTGTACTGTTTTTAGCACTGTCCGCTGTTTTGAGTCTCTTGGAAAAGAGCAAATAACAACAGCAACAGTAATAATACTGTTGATTGTCTGTATACACTTGTGCCCATCTCTTTTTCTTTTATTGCTTGTTTGCCCCAGAGTTCCCAGACCCAAGATGCCACAAGTTACAGACAGTTCCGTATCCAGAAGAAAGGAAATTCCTTTGTACTTGAAGGCTGGGAGCAGGAATTCTCTAGTGTCCAAGAATTGATAAATGCTCTCAAAGGCTGTACTCTAAGATCTGGAAATGAGATCTTTACTATGCGGAGGTGCTGTGTCCCAAAGCCAGGAGGTACAAACTATGTTCCATGTTCAAGAAATTTTCTTTTTATATAGTATATGTTAAATAGTGAAATTATCTGCAGAGGTGAAAGCAGGGACACCACAGCAACGTAGTACGGTATATGTTGGGGAGAGATAGGTCTCTCATACAACATATGGCATTTTGCAGTGCAGCTCAAAGACTTGATGAAAGATGGATGGGTTTGAAACTATATTTCATACAAATTACTACTAAGTGCATGAGGATTGGATGGGGGTATACTCATTGATCTCCCCATTCTTTCTACTGTATTGTTATTATTTGACCCTGTTTCTTTCCATGTGCTCAGAGACCGATGTCTGCAGCGAGAAGCCTGTTATTTGTTATTAGGGATCCTAACGTGCTGTAGAATCCTGTTTAGGCAGGTACATGTGTAAATGAGGTCTGCAGATCTTCATCTACCCATTTGAGGAGACAGGTCCAAGCATTTGTGTTGTGAAGAAGGGAGGGAACCAGCAATTACTTGCCCATTATCCTAGCATAAGAAGATTACTTGCCCATTATCCAGGCAGAATAAGAGGAGCCTTGTGCAGCAGAGTTTTGGTGTCATGTTAGTATCCTTGTTGAGTTGGAAGAGAGACTGTGGGGTTTTATGTGGGAACCATTTACTTCTCTCTTCTGGCCAGCAGAGTGTCTTGGACTGGAATCGACTACTGTCAGGAGTAGCTTGAACACAAGAGAGTTGTGGTTGCAGTAAACATGGTGGTGTCTTGTTTAGGGGCCAAAATTAAACAAGTCTGCATTGAGAATACTGTGGAATCTCTACTTAAGAGCATCCCAGCTTAAGAGCATTTTGAGTTAAGAGCTGTTGCTTGGCCCGGGTTTCGCTTTGACATATGGGCAGCATTTTGAGTTAAGAGCTACACCAGAGGGAGTGCTAGTGTGGGAATACAGGACTTCAGGGCTTCAAGGTAACTACCTTGTGACTCGTGCTCCTGTCCGCTTTGGGAGATTTCTGTCTGCTTTACTGTTATCTGCTTTGGGAGATTGCTGTCAGCTTTGCTCTTGTCTGCTTTAAAGAACTTTGGGTTAGTTAATTTTGTGCAGTTTTTATTGCTGGTATGTTTGGCTTCATGAAGAGAGAGAGTGTGAGAGAGCCATAAACGAAGGGAGGCAGGAATGAGTACAGTATAAAAAAGGATGCTTCTGCCTCTTCACTTTGTGCTTCTACCATTTTAAAGTTGATCTTTCTTTTTATTGTTTCATGCGAATGTACATTTATACATTATTTATAAAGTACATTTTTTTATTTAGAATCACATAACAAAAAGGAGGCTTTTGGGGGGCAAGAACGGATAAATATCATTTCAATGGTATGTTTCTGTGAGATACAAGTGTTTTGAGTTAAGAGCTCAGTCATGGAACACATTAAACTCTTACGTCAAGGTATCACAGTAGTAGAAACAGCAGCAAAGATCTGCCATTTTTATTGTGCATTAAGTATACATCAGGGCCTTTGGTGTCTTTGACTGTGTTTACTTGTGATAATAACAAATTATGAGTTCATAGAATCATAGAATCAAAGAGTTGGAAGAGACCTCATGGGCCATCCAGTCCAACCCCCTGCCAAGAAGCAGGAATATTGCATTCAAATCACCCCTGACAGATGGCCATCCAGCCTCTGTTTAAAAGCTTCCAAAAAAGGAGCTTCCACCACACTCCAGGGCAGAGAGTTCCACTGCTGAACGGCTCTCACAGTCAGGAAGTTCTTCCTCATGTTCAGATGGAATCTCCTTTCTAGTTGTTATAAAAACAAGCAGAATACAAGAATCAGAGTTTTGCACTTTGATTCCCCTCACCCCCAGCACGTCTTCATTTTACCCAATATGGGAAGCTGTGACTTTTATAAGCCACAGGTAAGAAACCAGGATGCCATGTTAATATAGTTTCACATATTCAGGTTAAACCATGGCATGATGCATCTGAATCAAGGTACTGTACAGCAAGGATTGTCCCTGTTCAGTCTTGCCTTTATGTGTCATGGAGGTAAGCATCCGTTTAGTTATATGAATACCTATCCTGTATTTCACAGGAAAAAGTGACACATCTCAGACTGTTTATTTTAGTATTATTCCTTCTGGGGTACTTGGCATACTGATGGGATTACTATTAAGCATTTATTTCTACGTCTCAAGCCAGCTTTGCTGTCTGTTTTTTTTTTTTCTTGCAAGACAGGACAAAATCTCAATGTCTTACAAGAAACCATATTTAGCAACAGGATGTCAAGAGACAAGTTGTTTTCCAGAGTGAATGCTGATTGCACTTGTTTGCATAATGCTTTGTAAAACACATTGGTTTACAAGTTCCTAAACCATTTATGCCTCCCTGAGCAAAAGAATTCAATAACTTGTTGATTATACTGTAGCAAATACAATTTTCTATCTGTGACCAAAGTTGCTAAATGTTTCCTTACAAATGATTTTGCTTTTGTACTACCTTTATAGTGTGACTTCTTGACTGATCTGTTTTTACAGAGGTCTCTGACCTGCTAATCACACGAAAAGTAAAGGACAGCACCCGACAGATTCTGAATTTGACTCAGCTGAGTTTCCACCAAATCCGGAAGAATGAGATCACCCAGGTCAATATAATTCATTTGAACGTGTTGGAAGATTATGATAAGAGTATAAAAGTTTGGAAAGACTCTAATGATTTCTTTCAATGCAAAGAAATGTTAAGTTTCAACCACTCAATGATTTCAATACTTAATGCCAATACCTTGGCTTAGAACTGGTGTGGGTAAAGCATGAAGCATCCCCAGGGCTATTTCTTCAAATTCCCCCAAGTCTTTTTCTAGCCAAAAAAAAGGAAGATGAACTGCCACCCTAGGAAGCCTTCTAAAAATGACAATTTTTCATTTTAAGCAGATTGCAGGGTCCCATACATGGTGTATAAATAAATACAGGCTGAGGCAGCATAACTTCCTTTTTTCAAAACTTAATAAAACCCATTGTATGAATCAGAAAAAAATTATAATGTAGGTACATACCTAAAGTTTTGTTTTACGTAGTTTTGAAGATCAAATTAGGTAGGTGACGTCCCCCATTCTCCATTCACTGAGTAAACTGATTTCTGGCATTTGTCATGACTCTTGCCAGCATAGCAGGCGTTATGTTGGCAATTTCTTCCTGGATGTTGGTCTTCAAATCTTGGAGGGTCCTTGGACAGTTCACATAAACACTGGATTTCAAAAAACCCCATAGAAAAAAATCACAAGGGGCCAAATCTGGAGAGCGGGCCGGCCACTCCAAATCCGCCTGAAAAGTAGGCCTCAATGGCAAAAGCACGCTCCTCACTGTTCCAACGCATGATGGCGACTGAACTGTGTCAGGACAAAACTTTATACTCCTGCCTCTCAAACGAGACCACTAGCGCTCCGCTACGTCTTCAACCGACTGAGTGGTGCCCATTTTAAAAAAGGAAGTTATTCTGCCTCACCCTGTATTAACCATATTTTCTATATGTGGAGTGAAAATTTCACCACTACAGATTTTTTTCTCTATTGGGATTTTTGGGAGGTAGGAGTTTTTGCAGACCCATGCCAGGGATAGAAATCTGGCCTCCAGACCTGCCAGAGTTGTCCATCATTGGCTGAGTGGCTTTTGCAAAGATGATTTAGAATTTATTAGCCTATTAAGCTTCTGAGGTGCCCAAGGAGTTGGAAATGCAGTTTATTGAATTTAAGTAAGATGTACTCATTTACAGAAGTAAATGAGTAAATTATTTATTACATGAATTTTTACCCTGCCTGTCTCCCCCCAAAGAGGACTCAAGGCGGCCTCACATAAGCAACAACAAATAAACAACAAAGGTTACAATTAAAACAGTAAAAATCATTAAAACACATTAATCAGATTCATTACCAAATTCATTAAACAATAAGATGTCAGTTAAAACCAAGACCAAGTCGGGTAAATCCAATGTCGCGTATGTCCTAGCTTTTACTTCCGATTGTCGCTGTCCACTAGATGAACGCCTGGTCCCAAAGCCAAGTCTTTAATTGTCTTCTAAAGAACAGGAGGGAAGTGGCCATCCTGATGTCCTTAGGGAGGGAATTCCACAGACGGGAGGCCACTGCCAAGAAGGCCCTGTTCCTCGTCCCCACCAACCGCGTTTGTGAGAGGGGTGGGATTGAGAACAGGGCCTCCTCTGACGATCTTAAGCTTCATGGTGTTTCGTAACAGGAGATACGTTTGGATAGGTAATCTGGGTTTGGCCTTGAATTCTTTCCTTAGTTCAGAGCAGAATGAAAGACACATGGAAGACTAAGATGTTGGGAAGGCATGAGGTGGCAGTGATACATTTAGGACAAGGTGGAACTTCGAAACGTAACAAAGTAATGTATTCACTTCCTCCAGAGAGCACACTTGGGTCAAGGGACGTGTACCAACATTTATGACGGTGTGTTACATGTATGTAGTGGAGCCAGTGGTGATGATGAAACAGAGTACTTCTCCGCTGAACAGAACAATAACAACCGTGAGGTGCACGTGGTGCTGAAGATGCTGGACCCCAGTCACAGGGACATTGCTTTGGTGAGCAGAGGGAAGAGGGATTGGGAGCACGACCTCATGTCTGCCGTCTGTTGCTGAACTAAATAAAACACTTATGGCAGTGACTTTGTTCATCCGTATTCAGAGTGATCTATAGTGCAGTATATATACATGAACCAAAACGTAAATAGCTTTACTCAAAAATGTTCATAAAGCTTATTTATCATACCTTCAAAATGTACTTGTAATGAAAACCATATAGATGGGAATGGCATTTATTGGCTTTGCACAAGAGTCAGATAACATCAATGAATGCAAAATGGGTAGATAGAGCCATATCATAGCACTCTGTGTTTCATTACTGTGAGGTTGGGAAAGGCAGGGGACTGCTCATATTGTGCACCCTTGATAGCAGTTCTTGTGTGATGGCCTTCCTTCTCTTCTCTGCAGGCATTCTTTGAAACAGCCAGCTTGATGAGCCAGGTCTCCCACATCCACTTGGCCTTTGTTCATGGAGTCTGTGTATGGGGCTCAGAGAGTAAGTATTCACTACTACTGTCAAATGGCTCATTCCTGCACTTCTGGCCCTGTGAGATATAGCGTTCTTCCGTTCTAAGCTGCTGTACACTTTAGTGTTGAACTACTGCACTTCTCTGGTATATTAGTGTTAGGCAGACATGCCTTATCCATGTTTAATCATATACGGTGGAACCTCAACTTAAGAGCATCCCAACCAAACAGTGTTTTAAGTTAAGAGCCATCACTCAGCCTGGGTATTTATTTGACATAAGACCAGCATTTTGAGTTAAGAGCTAGTGTCAAGGAAGAACGGGGACTAGCATGAGAGGATGGGTCTTTAGGGCTTCAGTGGAACAGCCTCCATGCCTCATGCCTCCATGTCTCGTGCTCTTGTCTGCTTTGGGAGATTGCTATCTGCTTTGCTCTTGTCTGCTTTGAGGAACTTTGGGTTAGTTGATTTTGTTTGATTTTTATTCCTGGTATGTTTGGCTTCATGAAGAGAGAGAGAGCAAGAGAGAGAGGGAGGCTGGAATGAGTACAGTATGAAGAAAATGATGTTTCTGCCTCTCGAGTTTGTGCTTTGTGCTTCCTTGCCATAACTTTGTGCTACTGCTTCTACCATTTTAAAGTTGATATTTCTTTTTTATTGTTCTGTGTAAATGTGTGTTTATACATTATTTGTTATTTATAAAGTACATTTTCCTATTTAAAAAAACATGTAACAAAATGGGGGGAGGTTGGGGGGGCTGGAACAGATTAATGACATTTCAATGGGAGAATTTGCTTTGAGATGAGAACGATTCGAGTTAAGAGTTCAGTCATGGAACAAATTAAACTCTTAACTCGAATATATCACTGTATTACTAGGTTCCTTTGAGTGCTGCTGGCCTTATTTGTCTGGCTGGTGATCCACCCTCCTTTTCTTGTACTTCTTAGAATATCCAGAGTATCCTTTTCCTATCCCTGCACATCATTTGAAGCAGTTTGGTACCATATTACTGTGAAATAAAGATACTAAAGCTTGCTCTGTCTCATGATTCTTATTTTCCCTTCTTTTCTTTCTTTCAGATATAATGGTGGAGGAGTATGTCGAGCACGGCCCCCTGGATGTCTTCCTAAGGAAAAACAAAGGGCGGATAATGGTGGGCTGGAAATTCACAGTCGCTGCACAGTTAGCCAGTGCCCTGAGTTACTTGGTAAGTCTTGTTGCCTTGGAGGCTGGTCCATGATGGTAGTTGGACACTAATATCCCCCATCCTCTGCCAGAACTCAAAGTAGCCCCAGCTAGCCCACTCTCTTGATTTAAAATGAGTCTATATGATGTTATTGTATATTAGCTTCTTTCCTCCTGGATTTCAGATATAGATAATCTCTGACATTCTGATGTGGGAAGCATATCATGCTTACTTTCCGATACATTCATGGCAAAACAAGGCTTTTTGTAAAAGCTCTGTAACCTTCAAAGGGAAAAAAACCCCAGTTTACTCAGCGTAGACTATAACAATTCCCTCGGCGCCCATAATCTTTCCTGAAATAGAGAATACATTAATCTAGCTGACTTAGTTACATTCAAATCCACTATTTTTGAAGGGGATAAGCAAATTTAAATGGGAACTTACAGATTTTGGAAATGTTGGAAATTGACTAATTTTTGTCAATTGAAATAGGAATTTCCCTTTCCACCCCCTCTTTTTTGGTTTGTTTTGTTTCTTTTTAACTTTCACAACAGACTGCAAAGATACAGAATGGGGGACAATGCCTGGCTCGAGAGCAGTACATGTGAAAAAGATCTTGGAGTCCTCGTGGACAACAAGTTAAACATGAGCCAACAATGTGATGTGGCAGCTAAAAAGGCCAATGGGATTTTGGCCTGCATCAGTAGGATCATAGTATCTAGATCTAGGGAAGTAATGCTACCCCTCTATTCTGCTTTGGTTAGACCACACCTGGAATATTGTGTCCAATTCTGGCACCACAATTCAAGAGAGATATTGACAAGCTGGAATGTGTCCAGAGGAGGGCGACTAAAATGATCAAGGGTCTGGAGAACAGGCTTAGTATCTAGATCTAGGGAAGTAATGCTACCCCTCTATTCTGCTTTGGTTAGACCACACCTGGAATATTGTGTCCAATTCTTGGCACCACAATTCAAGAAGATATTGACAAGCTGGAATGTGTCCAGAGGAGGGCGACTAAAATGATCAAGGGTCTGGAGAACAAGCCCTATGAGGAGCGGCTTAAGGAGCTGGGCATGTTTAGCCTGAAGAAGAGAAGGCTGAGAGGAGATATGATAGCCATGTATAAATATGTGAGAGGAAGCCACAGGGAGGAGGGAGTAAGCTTGTTTTCTGCTTCCCTGGAGACTAGGACGCAGAACAATGGCTTCAAACTACAAGAAAGGAGATTCCATCTGAACATGAGGAAGAACTTCCTGACTGTGAGAGCCGTTCAGCAGTGGAACTCTCTGCCCCGGAGTGTGGTGGAGGCTCCTTCTTTGGAGGCTTTTAAGCAGGGGCTAGATGGCCATCTGTCAGGGGTGATTTGAATGCAGTATTTCTTCTTCTTGGCAGGGGGTTGGACTGGATGGCCCATGAGATCTCTTCCAACTCTTTGATTCTATGATTCTATGACTGCTACATTTTCTTGAAAATCTTGACTCTTTCTCTCCCTACCGTCCTTTCTTGCTCCAGGGAGGAATGGATTTCTCTTGTTGTTGTTTTATTCAGGTCTATTCTTGGTTTTAAACAGTTTGGACAGTCTCAATTGGAATCTATGCAGCTTGCTGTTTTGGGTCAATGGAATGGAGAAAAACAGGGATGGTGTGCGTTTTCAGTATAATAATGTAGAACTTATTGGGTCCTGTCTTATTAAAATAGTAAATAAAAGCAGCCAGTCAACAGTAACAGACAAAAGTAAAATAACCTTACAATGCATTTCGTGAAAGAAGAATTTCTTTTCAGAATAACAGCACTCCATATGACTTGTACTTTGCTATCCCTTACATCTTTTTTATGCAAATAACTTTTTCAAAGGAGCTTAGATTCCAGTCTTAAGTGTGTATGAGACTGTATGAAAGGAATACCTGACAGCAAAAGAATGTAGTTTTCCAATTTAGAGAATAGTCCTCAGCAATAAACCTATTGACTTTGATAGGACTCATTCTTGCACAAATGTATACAGGCAGTCACCAAGTTATATACAAAATAGGTTCTATAGGTTTGTTCTTAAGTTGAATTTGTATGTAAGTCAGAACAAGTAATTTTTTAATGTGCAACTCTGTATGGGTGTGGATCCCCACTGCTGAAAGAGTTGTCATGGGGAAAAGGTGTCTCCACTGAAGCTTCCTCACCAATCCTTGTTTCCACAACAAAATAATGCACCACAGAGCACTGGTGTGCATTAAGGACTTCCTTTTGTGTGTCTTTGTGGGAGTTTGCTGTCTGGCCACCACAGTTTGAATGTAGCTTCGTACTGGTCAGTGCAGATTGGCCCTTTGGCTTGAAGTGCTCTAGCTTTTATAAGGCAGGTTTATTTCACATGAAGTAATGAAAGATAACTGAGTCATAGGCGATAATCTGGTTAATTTACAGGGAGTTATATTGTCGAAGGCTAAAATCTGGCTACCAGTATTAAAAAAACTCTAAAATTACAACAGCACAACAACAGAGAGGAAACAAACAAGGACATCTAATCACCTCTCAACAAAAGTTTGCTGTAGGCACTGTCAGACCAATATATGTTAATCAAGGTGGTCAGTTGAAACATTCACACCTAGTTCCAGCAGACAAGAGTCCTTTATCTCACCCTGGTCATTCCACAGATATATAAAACCCTTTTCCTAGTTCCAACAGACCTCACTACCTCTGAGGATGCTTGCCATAGATGCAGGCGAAACCTCAGGAGAGAATGCCTCTAGACCATGGCCATATAGCCCGAAAAAACCTACAACAACCCAGTTACAGGGAGTTCACAGAGAATTCCCATGGTGTGTCCTTTAATTGCTCAATTGGTAAACTTCCTATTCAGTGCTTAACTATCCCCATGGAGAAGCTGAGTCACAGTAGAATAGCAAACATGTTACTTACAAAATATTGGAGATGAAATATTTTTCTATTTCTTGTGGTTGAACAGAAGTCTCCCTTCTTTCATATGCATGACACATGTCAGAGATGGGGCTTTTCATAGACCATTTTCATTTGTTCTTCTAACAGGAAGGCAAAAATCTTGTACATGGCAATGTATGTGCCAAGAACATCTTGTTGGCGAGGAGAGGCTTGGAAGATGGCTTGCTGCCCTTCATTAAACTCAGCGACCCTGGGGTCAGCTTCACTGTGCTCTCCCGGGAAGGTAAGCTATCTTTTTCAATACTAGATAACATGTTTCTTCCTCAAATATACTTTTTGGTGCAGATAAGGTTGAAGGGATTAATTTGAACTCACAGCATTACAAATTGTCTGGGGGAGGTCTTGTGTGTTAGTATCAAGAGTCAGCTCACCAGTAGTTTATATTGTGATCCTTGTGTCCCTGTATAGCTTCCTGAACTTACATTAGGAACAGGAAAACATGAATAATAGCAAACTTTATTGAAACAAACCATTTCTGCCAGGAGCTACTGTAAAATTGCTCTGAAGGTACCTGGAAAACTTCTAGAGTTTTATTTTGTTAGATACCAGTAGGTGAAACCACAAGAATCATATAATTCTACCTCAGAAATGGAGTGAGAGCACCTGATGAACCAACCTGGACTCAGCATTTTATTTGAGAACACAGAAATGCTGGACCACTCTCACAACCACCATGTCAGACTACACAGAGAAGCCATTGAAATACCAAGCATGTGGACAATTTCAACAGAAAGGAGGAAACCATGAAAATGAACAAAATCTGGCTTCCTGTATTAAAAAAAACTCTAAAATTGCAACAGCACAACAACAGAGAGGAAACAAACAAGGACATCTAATCACCTCTCAACAAAAGTTTGCTCCAGGCACTGTCAGGCCATTATATGCTAATCAAGGTGATCAGTTGAAATATTCACACCTAGCTCCAGCAGACAAGAGTCCTTTGTCCCACCCTGGTCATTCCACAGATATATAAACCCTTTTTCCTAGTTCCAACAGACCTCACTACCTCTGAGGATGCTTGCTATAGATGCAGGCGAAACCTCAGGAGAGAATGCCTCTAGACCATGGCCATATAGCCCGAAAAAACCTACAACAACCCAGTGATTCCGGCCAAGAAAGCCTTCGACAATACATGGGAGTGGAATGGTTTTTGATTGATGATCCTGTACCAGTTATAATTCTGATTTGTTCCCTAGATGCAAGTGTGATTTCAGAAGCAGCCTTGGTCACACCACCTGCCAAAGCAATACAAGCATTGAAACCTTTATATTTGTACTCTCTCATAGCTAGTCTGGCCCAAGAAAATTCCATGTAGCTCTTTGGAGAATAGGGCAAGCCATTGATAAATTTATCCTATTTCAAATCGTCTAACTCTTTCTAATAACTATTTGTGTCCATTACACCTTGTGGTAGTGGAGCTGCAGTGGCTCAATGGTTTAAACCCTTTTGCTGGCTGAACTGCTGACCTGAAGGTAGGCAGTTCGAATCCGCAAGATGGAGTGAGTTCCCATCTGTCAGCTCCAGCTTCCCATGCAGGAACATGAGAGAACCTCCCACAGGATGGTAACACATCTGGGCATCCCCTGGGCAAAGTCTCTGCAGACGGCCAATTCTCTTTCACCAGAAGCGACTTGCAGTTTCTCAAGTCACTTCTCACACGATAAAAAAGAACCTTGTGGTAGCAAATTCCATAAGCTGATCGTACACTATCCGAGGCATCAGTTTCTTCTCCTTGTGCTGAACTCAACTGCCAGTTGGTTTTGTTAGAAAGGTCAGTTTCACAATTTGTACATGATCAAAGTGTTTGTTTGCCACTCTATGCCCCTGGATGCAGTTAATCTTTGAATGAGATGCCTGCTTCCTCTGCAGAACTGAAACTTTGTGGGATGGCCAACTATAGCTTTTGGCCTGATCTCAAGCAGCATTTGTTCTGCTTTCAGCAGCTTTACAAGTGAACAGCCCAGTTCCAAAGCAGCTAGTTCAGTGAGAGAATCAGTAAGACGATAAAGGGATGTCAGATCGAAATGGAGAGCCAGAAAGAGAGATTATGTGGAGCCCCCAGTGGCGCAGTGGGTTAAAGCCCTGTACCAGCAGTACTGAAGTACTGAGCAGTACAGGTCGCAGGTTCAAATCCGGGGAGAGGCGGATGAGCTCCCTCTATCAGCTCCAGCTCCTCATGCGAGGACATGAGAGAAGCCTCCCACAAGGATGATAAAAACATCAAATCATCCAGGCGTCCCCTGGGCAACGTCCTTGCAGACGGCCAATTCTCTCACATCAGAAGCGACTTGCAGTTTCTCAAGTCGCTCCTGACACGACCAAAAAAAAAAATGTGGAAACTGAGAAAGGGGCTTGGTTTGATCTCACTACACCCACATTTCCTGTGAGAGGAAATGCAAATGTACCTATGGTCAGAAAGGAGGCTACCCAGTGCTGCTAAATACCAAATCCAGTTGCTGACCAAGCAGAAGATTAACTCATCTAGCCTGAGCTGCTTAGTCATGAGGCATATGATTGACTGGGAATTTCTGCTATACAGTAACCCACTCAATTCAACAAAACTTGTGTAGGAGAACTTTTCAGGGATTATTGGTTTGCGAGTCAGGTCAGCCCAAGTGTTTTGGCACCCTTAAGTGGTGTGGGAGGAAAGTAATGCTTGTTCTCAATTAAATGATAACCTGTGGCTAGGCTTGAGAATTTCAAGGAGGCTATTACAGTGCATTTTAAGTTATACAAAACAGTTCCTTGCCATAGATGATATCAGGGAAAAATATTTCTAGTCTTGGGAGTCAGGAAAGGGTAGCTTATGGGTCATGTGTGGCTGCAATCTCTTCTTTGCAGCTCCTTAAGCCACCAGGACATATTTTTTAAGTGTTTGATCATTTCATGTCAAATGGAAAGACATTTATACCCTATCAATGGCAAAAACTCCAGCCAAAAAAAATGTTTTTTGTCATGTCAGGAGTGTCCTGTTGTGAGAGAATTGGCCGTCTGCAAGGACGTTGCCCAGGGGACGCCCGGATGATTTTGATGTTTTTATCATCCTTGTGGGAGGCTTCTCTCATGTCCCCGCATGAGGAGCTGGAACTGATAGAGGGAGCTCATCCGCCTCTCCCCGGATTCGAACCTGCGACCTGTCGGTCTTCAGTCCTGCTGGCACAGGGGTTTAACCCACTGCGCCACCGGGGGCCAAAATAATGATGATTTATTTATTTATTTATGTATTGCTTGTCTCTCCCAATGATTCTCAAAACACGATTTTCTTACAGAGTTGGGAAACAGCAGTCTATATATTGCAAACCACTTCTTAATAGTCTTTTGGATTTATTTATTGTATTTATGACATTTATAAGTTCTGTTTGCCTTCATTAAAACATTCTGAGTGGCATCTAAAACAGCAGTGAAAGCAAGAAAAAAGCTTCATGATGTGGTTACTTGATAGAGATGTCATGTATGACATGTCCTTTGCACATTCACTTATATGTTCTTGGTTGCATGGCACTAATCCTTGATTTCTTTCTCTCCTTGCAAAGAGCGAGTGGATCGGATCCCCTGGATTGCTCCAGAGTGTGTCAGAGATGTGAGCAACCTGAGTACAGCAGCTGACAAGTGGAGCTTTGGTACCACATTGCTAGAAATATGCTTCGATGCAGATGTACCACTAAAAGAACGCACTCCTTCTGAGGTAGGATTTGCCAGTGTTGTTTTTCCCCACCAAGTATATCCTGTGTATGTTTCTTGTTGCAGGATTGAGAACAAGGTCTCTAAATCCTAGCCCTACTCCATATCCTTGTCCTAATCCATACCCTTGTTACACTTGATGATATACTTGCTGGACAAGAAGTGCTGTCAACTTTTGGTACAAACAGAGATGTCACCTGCTCTTGCCACTGTAGGATGAGCTACCTCCCCTGCTTAGACCATGTGCTGCCTCTGGAAGAGAAGATTGTGCAGAGAATTATGGTGATATTAGTCTACTAGTGTGGTTTGATCATTGTATAGTTATATATTGAGGGTATTTAGATTTTGGAATTAAGCAAGTCGGTCCTGGTGAGTACTTGAATGGGAGACCAGTGAATCCCAGATGCTATAAGGAATGAACTGGCAAAATCATCTCTGAGTATTCCTTGTGTAAGAAAACGCATAACATTTTTGGATTTGCTATGGGTTGGTAGCTGACTTGAAGACACACACATAGATGTTTACATCAAAGAACATAACATATTTTGTGACTAAAATAAATAATAATATTATCCATGAAGCTAGGTATTGTAAGTTAGAAAAATCCCCAGATATAAGCTTACGAGGTAGCTTTAGGCAAACTGCTATTGTCTCTGTTTCATCAATAGTAGTGTAAAGCTAAAGCACGTCACCTTAATTAATCCATGAACTGTGCAATATTACATGTGTTCAATCAGGTATACATCCCATTGAATTCAATGGAGTTTCTTGCCAGGTAACTTGGCACTAGATTTCAACTTATAGTATATACTCGAGTATAAGCCAACCTGAATATAAGCCGAGGCAGCTAATTTTACCACAAAAAAACTGAGAAAACGGATTGATTCGAGTATAAGCCGAGGGTGGGAAATTGAGCCGCTATGGGTAAATTGCAAAATAAAAATAGATACCAATTAAATTACATTAATTGAGGAATCAGTAGGTTATATATTTACAAAAATTGTAATTTAAGATAAGACTATCCAACTCTGATTAAATGATTATTTACCTTATTCAATGCAAATGTGCTTACGTATCCTTCCAATTATAATAAAGAGAGTAACATAACAAATGTAATAACAACAATAATAATAAAAAGAGTGAAATAATGAATGTAGCAATAACAATTATACAGTAAAATAATAAATGTATAATAATAGAGTAAAATGATAAATGTAATAATAATAAATAGAATAAAATAATAAATGAAATAAAAATAATAACAGAATAAAATAATAAATAACCTTGACTCGAGTATAAGCCAGGGGGGACTTTTTCAGCCTAAAAAAGGGCTGAAAAACTTGACTTATACTTGAGTATATACAGTCTCTTTTTTTTTTCCAGTGGAGGCATTAAACTACTTGATTTATATTCTATTTTATGGTTGTAAATTTAGTTGGAATTGGTTTTGACAGCCTTTTTTCATAATATAATTTTTTTTCATGGTCTAGAATAATGCAGAGGTAGGGATGAATCTTGGGAGCAGTTGGCAGAGGTGTTAATGACTATAAGAAATTAACCCTCAGTGTTGTCGCAGAGCAATGGACACACGATACAACACTGATGGAGGCAAGATAACTTTTCACCAAAGGAGTGCTTGGAGATTCTTCATGTGAACTTTGACTTTCGTGTGCGGTATATACATCAATGCACAAAACTTTTCTCCTTGCAGAAAGAGCGCTTCTATGAGAAAAAACATCGCCTTCCAGAACCATCCTTTAAAGAACTAGCTAATTTAATCAGCCAGTGCCTGAACTATGCCCCCGCGGAGCGTCCTTCCTTCCGGACCATCCTGAGAGATCTTACCCAGCTGCAACCACATAGTAAGGATCAGAGTAAGGATAACAGCTATTTCACAAACCTATGAAATAGTGCACACTCTCTTTATAACCTGACTACGAGCCACTTAATGCCTGTAAAGGTTCCCCTTATTATTATTGTCATCATCAAATTTATATAGTACTAGCCGTCCCCTGCCATGCTTTGCTGTGGCCCAGTCTGTGTATATGTGTTCTGTGTGTGTATATGTGTGTATATGTGGTTTTGCACATGCATTGTAATGTATTTTTTGTTTTTTGGCATTTCAAGTCTCTTCTGTTTTTATGAGTGATGGTCACTCTTTGGCCTCATAGGTGTATTTATGAGTGATGGTCACTCTTTGGACTGATAGGTGTATTGTGTCCAATTTAGTGTCAATTCGCCTAATGTTTTTTGAGTTATGTTAATCCAACAAACGAACATTACATTTGTCCCCCTGCCACAAGTTTCTGTGGCCCAGTCTGTGTATATATTTTATGTGTGTATATGTGTGTGTATATATTTGTGTATATGCCTTTGCGTATATATATGTGGTTTTGCGCATGTGTTGTAATGTATTTTTTGTTTCTTGGCATTTTAAGTCTCTTCTGCTGTGTTTTTCAGTGTTTTTATCAGTGATGGTCACTCATTGGCCTGATAGGTACATTGTATCCAAATTTGATGTCAATTCATCCAGTGGTTTTTGAGTTATGTTAATCCCACAAACGAACATTACATTTTTATTTATATAGATAATCACTATAAATGGCACTTCACAAGTAAAAGAAGAATACATAATTTTCCTGACTTCAGGTTTACAATCTAACTAAAACATAACGCAAAAGGGAAAAGGAATTACAAGTTGGAAGAGAATTCAGTCCAACAGATACTACTAGGGCAATTGCCATAAGGCCGAAGGGAGGGTTTTCCCTCTGCTTCTGTTAATCTGTTTTTCAGATGGTAAACCAGGCCTATATATAATTTGTTGAGGGTATACTGTCTCTCAGTTTGTAGTTGTGTCACAGTTTGTTAAAGCGGACTTTCCTGCTTCTTGGCAGGGGGTTGGACTGGATGGCCCATGAGGTCTCTTCCAACTCTATGATTCTATGAATGAATAGAAATTGTGGAGATCAAAACATAAAAGTGTATCAGTTCAGACCTCCCAATTCAATGCTGAATGTGAAATAGCAAGATAAAAGATTCAGAAAAAGAAAAAGGTGAGAATTAAATGTAATGGAGAAAAATAACAGTATAACGAAAGCATAAAAATAAACACTGTTTAGTGTAAGCTAGTGATTTGCTTAAATCAGAACTTCTTAAATTTTTCCTACTCACAACCTCTTTCTGTCCAAGAAATCTTTTATGTGACCCCGAGTATATAGTTACATAAAAGAGACATAAAAATTCAGTATTTGCTGATTATAAATCAGCATTTGCAGGGCTTGTTAATCGAGCTGATTTTCCTTTTCCTGAAGTATAGCTGTAGCATTTTCTGCAAAATCCACTGTAAACATTGCACGTTGTTTCTAACAGACTTCTGCACATGTTTAAGTGTCATTCAATAACCTTGAGCGAAGGGGACCCCATTTGGAGTCAAGATCCACAGTTTGAGAGGCAGTGTCTTTAATGAGGAATAGAAAAATGTTGAAGCTACCAACTCTTGTTCTTTTCCAGTACTGGTGTCTTAATAAAAGGGTTGCATATGGATTGTATGGTACTGTACGGTACTATTTCTTTTTCAATCCCACAACATATTTGCAGACCTCTTAAGTTTTCCTTGTGTTTTTTTCCTTCTCACTATTGTGCATCTCACTCTCTGGTTCCCAACTCTATGCTCTTATTTTTCAGACCCTCTAGATATCAGCTCTGTGAACCCTGAATTTCCTGTATCAGACCCAACTGTCTTTCAGAAGCGCTACCTGAAGAAGATCAGAGATCTGGGTGAGGTAGGTTGGCTTTGTTTTGTTTGAAGTATCACTCAATCGCTTTCTATAATTGATACCAAGCAAGAATTGAAACCAATCCCTTCATGACTTGTCTGTTTCCATTCAGTGACATTTCATTCTAAATATTTTTTTCACATTTTGGAGCATATAAAATACTACAGTCTACAAGAGAAAATCACACAGAACATTCTTCTGAGGTGCTAGGTTTGCATACACAGAGGATAATTCTTATGCAAGAGAATTCAACCATTTATTTATTTTATTTACTTATTATTTACATTATTTCTATCCCGCCCATATCAGCCCAAAGGTGACTCAGGGCGGCATACAAAGTTGGCACAATTCGATGCCTTATATAAATACATACTTTGATAAAAAGCAAAAAAGAAACATTACATTACATTTAAAAGCATAAAACAATAAATAATACAAATTTAAAAACTGTCCTCTTGGTCAAATCCTCATCCGTTCCATTGTCTTGGCCGTTCCTGGGTCATTTTCCGATTCAAATTTGTCTATTTATCCTGAGGTTCCAAATGCTTGCTCGAAGAGCCATGTTTTCACTCTCTTTCGAAAGGTCAGGAGGAAGGGGACCGATCTAATATTCCTAGGCAGAGAGTTCCACAGCCAAGGGGCTGCCACAGAGAAGGCCCTGTCTCTCGTCTCCGCCAAATGTGCTTGTGAGGCAGGCGGGATCGAGAGCAGGGCCTCTCTCGACGAACTCAAGTTCCTCGTGGGTTCGTAGGAAGAGATGCGTTCGGATAGATAAGCTGGGCCGAAACCTGTCTACCTGCAGCCCAGCATTTTTATAGATAAGAGGGGGATATGGTGTTTCTACTTTTATGAGAGGTATTCAGTACTCTTTGTGCTCTCAAATTTAATAAATACATGAATGATTAATGGGGTCACATATCTGGCTGTTGTGGCCAAAACAGTTGCATGCTTGTAGTTATATGAAGGGCCATTGTGTCAGTATAGATGTATGTAAAGGGATTCCTATACTTGAGTATTTTCTTTACATTCACACTGACTGAGCATCATGCTGGCCTTTGGGGTGTGACTAGCAGGCATACTTCTATAGCTCCCTCATTTATTCACTGGAACTGTTGGATGGACAGGGTTTATATAATGAATTTCAAAAGATGCTACTTTTCAATACTAATACGTATTTTAAGCCATTTGTTCTAACTGGCTCAGAAACAAACTTTGATTTCATCATCCAGGCTTGTCAGACAAATCACAGTTTAAAATGTCTTTGGATGCTTTACATTTTGGTCAAGACTTGAGCCCCCATATTGGGAGAAAGGGAGGAAAAATAAAAAAAATAAATATCAGTGACTGTAGACTCAAGCAGAAGAGTAGCAACTGTCACTAGTTTGTATTTATATCATGCCGAACCATGATTTGCTATTTCCATGTTTTTATTCTTTCTTGTTAGCTGATAACAGACTATTTGGTTTAAGCTGCTCCGAGTCCCCTTTGGGGAGATAGAGCGGTATATAAATAAAGTTATTATATTATTATTATTATTATTATTATTATTATTATTATTATTACTTATTAAGTAGGTATTATTCCCATTTTTTTCTAAACAAATTCTTAATCAAGGGACATGTTTCTTTTTAAAAGTTAGTCACTGACTACATCAATTTAATACTGCTATGTTGGTTTAATCAGCACCTGTGTAATACTTTCATGCTTGTTTAATCATGTTTATCTCACCATAAAAAATTAAGGACTTAGATTATTTATCAAAGGTTTTTATCAGTGGGTTAGAAACATGCAGTAGTTTTTTGTCACAATGTCTACTAACCGTTTCTTCAGACTTGACTGTGAAATGTATTATTTGGCTGACATTAATGCTGGTTAAGATTCTGAGCAAAAAGGGAGCTTGTCATAAGATTAATTCCTGCATTGGTTTGACGCATAGGATTGTTTGCCCCGGGAATATTCTGGAGATCAGGTCTTTCTCTAGTAATACTGTGTACACCTTTTCAGGTGCAATGAAATGTTTGACTTTTGAAATATCAATTCTCTCTTTTTTTGTTTTTTTTCCTCTCTCATTTTGGTTAGGGTCACTTTGGCAAAGTGAGCTTGTACTGCTATGATCCCACCAATGATGGCACGGGTGAGATGGTAGCAGTGAAGTCATTGAAATCAGGCTGCAGCCAACAGCTGCTGACTAGCTGGAAAAAGGAAATTGAAATCCTGAAAACCCTCTACCATGAGAACATTGTCAAGTACAAGGGCTGCTGTAGTGAACAAGGTATGAGATCTGGTGTTGGCACCTTAAGGCCTGGGTGTAAGGGGTCTTGGCATTAGAGTGTTTTTAGGCAGGGGAGATTGCAAAAGGAGCACTTATCTTCATTGCTACTTCATTCACATTTTTTCCAAAATGTAGGGTCCTGTTGACCTTTAACAGATGCTGCAGCAACATATCTCTTCTCCTCACTTTTTCCACAGCACTGCTAACCTTTCCAGTGTTTCTACTTCAGTGGTCAAGGTCAGGGAAATGACAGCATGAAACATTTTGAGGACTTCTTGAATCTGAGTACATCTGCCATTTGTGCGCAGCTGGACTTGAAACCTCAAGAGTTGTTGATTGTTATGAACAGCTCAGCCATAGGCATAATATGAAACCTTGATCTTAAATTAGAGGTGACATCCCTCCGCTCTGAGTCACCTCTGGGCTGAGTGGGGCGGTATATAAATGTGGTTTGTTTGTTGTTGTTTTTTTATCGTGTCAGGAGCGACTTGAGAAACTGCAAGTCGCTTCTGGTGCGAGAGAATTGGCCGTCTGCAAGGACGTTGCCCAGGGGACACCCGGATGATTTGATGTTTTTATCATCCTTGTGGGAGGCTTCTCTCATGTCCCCGCATGAGGAGCTGGAGCTGATAGAGGGAGCTCATCCGCTTCTCCCCGGATTCGAACCTGCGATCTGTCGGTCTTCAGTCCTCATGGCACAGGGGTTTAACCTGTAAATAAATAAATAAATAGCTCCCGGTTCAGCTCCTAAAGTAGCTTCCCTTTTTGCTTTGACTCAGGACTAAGATTAGAAGTTTATGCTAATCTAATGCACACCCTAATTTTGGGGAGATAGTTTAGTCAAAAAAGGTGAGCATTAGATTCGAGTAAATACAGTACTCCAAAATCCAAAAATGTCCATATGAATGTCTGAGATTGTGACACCTTTGCTTTCTGGTGGCTCAATGTACACAAACTAAAGATATTGAGCATAAATTTACTTCAGAATAGATGCGTAAAGTTTATTTGTAATATAAGTACATTTCATGTTTAGACTTTGTTCCCATCTCTATGATATCTCATTATGTATTCCAAAATCCAAAATGAAAGCCCCAAATCTACAATACTGGACATTTCTGGTCCCAAACATTTTAGATAAGGAATATTCAGCCTGCATGTCACCACTTCCTAAAGATTACCACCACTTCTCATAGAGAGAATGGTGAACAGCAGATAGTTCCTTTTACCATGGCTCAGTACTGAGATTTGTAGTTGGGTGAGGCATTCACATTCCTTGGCAGCCTCCATGATCCCAAACTACAGGCCCCATGACCCCATAGCATTGAGCCAGTTAAAGTGGATTCATTCTAAGCATAGATGCACTCCAAGGTTTTCTTTTCCATTGCTGGAAGCTTTAGTGCTCTAACACGTTTGTTTTTTAAGGAAGGAATTCTAAGCAGGCAACAGCTGTAATTATGCACCTTTTTGGCCAAATGACAGAGTGCCCTTTCCCCCCGCTGCGCATTACATTTGCCAGCAAATACTTTCTTTGCTTTCAGGGTTTTGAAAATTAAGGTGGGTATTAGATTTGATGGCACATTAGACTCGAGTAAATATGACTATTTCAGATTTTGGATTTCCAGATCAGGGACGCTCATTCTGTCTCATGAGTTATGGGTGCTAGAAACAAGAGTTAGAAGGAATAGCCCTTCTCCACTCTTACCACTCAATCAAATCAAATCAAATCATTTATTTCAGTCATTGACCAGCACCACTCAGCCTTCTTTCATGTGTCTCCCATCCATTTTCCCTTCCCTTCATCCTCTTTTTTCCATATGTCCCTGAATGTATTTGCATAATGGTATCTGCTCCATTATGCATCTCCTCTCCTGGAAGCCCGCCACCAGCCTTTTAATTGCTCTGAACAGGCAGGATTATTTTTAATATATATGTGTTATTGTGATAATTTTAAGTTTATGTTGTTTTGTTAATTTTATGTCATGCTGTTTACTCTGTATGTTTTGGTGATGTTACTTGGAACATCCTGATTCCCCCTCAGGAAGATAGTTGTATATAAATAAAGTTTTATTTTATTATTATTACCTGTCTCTTCTACTGTCGCTTCCATACTCCCCACTGATCTTTGTGCTAGCTGTGATGTCATGGGATTTTGGTGGAAAATAATTGTTTTATTTATAAAGCAGGCATGAGCAAGCTTGGCCCTCCAGGCACTTCGGGCTTCAACTCCCACAATTCCTAACAGCTGATAGGCTGTTAGGAATTGTGGGAGTTGAAGTCCAAAATACCTGGAGGGCCAAAGTTTGCCCATGATTGCTATAAAGGGTATTTGGTTGTGTATGTTTTGTGTAATCAGGAAATGAGCTGGTGGGAGGAGCTGAAAAATGGAATGCTGAAAGTGAGTTGTGATTGGTGGAATATCTGAAGGGATTTGCATAAGGCTGATGAAGTCTCTTCCAACTCTGTGATTCTATGATTCTATGATCAGCACTTGGTCTGAAAATGGTTGAATATGGACTGAATGAGCAAGAATGAGGATTGAAAGAGTCAGTCAGGTTTAGAAATGAATGAGTGTGTTATAAGAGTGTGACTTATCTTGGGGTAGAATGAGTGAAAATGAAATATGGTATGACCTTTGTGTCCATAGAACCAATATATGCGGCTTCGCTTATCCGCAGAACAGCAATGGAAATAATTTTTTGAAATATTTGTTTCTAGGGGAAAAAGTTGTGCAACTTATCATGGAATATGTGCCTTTGGGGAGCCTGAGAGACTACCTACCCAAACACAATGTCAGCCTGGCCCACATTCTTCTCTTTGCACAGCAGATCTGTGAGGTAATGTCTCCCAGCCTCAGGAGGTGAATTTAATGTGGACACAGACCCAGAAAATAAAATTATTTGAGATCATAGGCCTTGATATGGGACTGAATAAGGTTCTGAGGGATGAAGAAAAATTGTGGTTTGGCTTTGGGAGGTAATCCCACCCATCTAAGATTCAGGAGTCCTGATTCTGATTTTGGTCCCAATTTCTGATTGTTGGCTTCTTAATTACAAGCGTGAGTAGGAATTCTATTTCTAAAATATTTTTATTTATTATTTCCTTGCTTACTTAGGGAATGGCTTACCTCCACTCCTTGCGCTACATCCATAGGGATCTTGCAGCCAGAAATGTTCTTTTGGAGAATGAGAATGTAGTGAAGATAGGAGATTTTGGACTGGCCAAAGCCATCCCTGAAGGACATGAATATTATCGTGTCTGTGAAGATGGAGATAGTCCTGTCTTTTGGTAAGTAAGCAGTCACGAAACCATGTAGACTTCAGATATTTGAAGAGAATGGTGACCAAATTACAACTCATTTATGCAGACAATGTATAAATCGGCGACTGTTGACTATTAGATTGTGTTTATACTGTTTTATACTGTTTTATTGCTATATTGTTATTTAAAATGTATATTTATGTTTTTGGTTGTGGGCACTCTGGGATGCCGGTTTGGTAGCCACACTGAGTCCCTCTGCAGAGGTCGAGATAGGACAGGATATAAATATCCAAAATAAATAAATACATAAAGTACTGTATATACTCAAGTATAAGCCTAGTTTTTCAGCCCCTTTTTTAGGCTGAAAAAGCTCCCCTCGGCTTATACTGGAGTCAAGGTTATTTATTATTTTATTCTGTTAGTATTATTTTTATTTCATGTATTATTTTACTTTCTTTATTATTATTACATTTACAGTATTTTACCCTATTATTATTATTATTATTAGATTTCTTATACTTTATTATTATTGCATTTATTATTTTACTCTATTATTACATTATTATTACTGTTATTATTGCATTTCCATTATTTTACTTTATTGTTATTATTATTATTATTATTACATTTATTATTTTATTCTATTTATTATTGTTGGAAGGATGTGTAAGTATATTTACATTGAAGAAGGTTAAAATAATGATTTAATCAGAGTTGGGCAGTCTTATCTCAAATTACAGTTTTATGTAAATATTCAAAAACATTTCACCTCCTGGTGCCTCAATTAATGTAATTTTATTGGTATCTATTTTTATTTTGAAATTTACCTGTAGCGGCTGCATTTCCCACCCTCGGCTTATACTCGAGTCAACATGTTTTCCCATTTTTTTGTGGTAAAATTAGGTGCCTTGGCACATTGCTGTGGTGTGTTTCCGTTGAAGATCCGGATCAGCATCCTGCTCTGCTTGTGAAGTTTTCAGAAATAGATTGCTAGACCAGATGGACTTTACTCTGATCCAGCAAGAAGACCTTTATGACTTTTTATTTGCAATACATCTGCTCTGTTTTCTGTGCACCGCAGGTATGCTGTGGAATGCCTGAAAGACTGTAAATTCTACTACACCTCTGATGTCTGGTCCTTTGGTGTAACATTGTATGAACTCTTGACACGCTGTGATTCTAGTCAGAGCCCTCCTGCGGTGAGTGCAATCACAAGTGATACAAAAAGAGGTGATAAATGTTTAACAAGGCTGAGAGCTGTGAAGTGATCTTGGTATATTTTTGAGTCTTAGATGGCTTTACCCAAGGTTCTGCTGTTTTAGTTGCAGTTTAGTTGCCCAATGTGCTTACGGCTGTTTAACCACCTGTTATTGACACATAGACTATACATGTGTTGTGTATTTTTCACAATATGTACCGATTTCTCTAAGTTTTTTTTTTAAACTGCCTTTTCATTGTTATGTTCCCTGCATTTTTGATTGGCATTGATTCTATATCCAATCAAAACAAGTGAGAAGCTGCAGGATAGGTCATGTTTTCTTTGGAAAATCCCACTGCTTGTAAAAAGGAAAGCTTTTGTTATATATATTTCGATGTATCTTGAAAAACAAAGAATTTGTAGTATAAGGAACTCACAACATGATGCATTTTTCTGCCTTCTTCCCAAAACACTAACTATGGATTGCCCTCTCTTGTTTCAGAAATTCATTGAGATGATTGGAGCAATCCATGGTCAAATGACAGTGCTGAGGCTTATAGAGTTGCTGGACCGAGGAAAAAGGTTGCCCAACCCAAAAGACTGTCCTTTTGAGGTGAGTCTGGATCTTTGTCTTTTGTCTTTGTCTTTGGGGCCAAGATCCTTTGTTTCAGCAGCATAACTATAATGTGGGCCTACAAAACTTTATTTGGTGCTAGCTTTCTCTTCTTTGTTCCATCTGCCTGTTCTGTTCTAAACCTGTGACTTCTTCCCCAGATTTACCGCCTGATGAAGAACTGTTGGGAGCTGGAGTCTTCATTCCGCCCATCCTTTGCAAACCTTGTACCCATCCTGAAAGCCTTTCATGAAAAGTACAAGGCCCAGGCCCCCTCTGTTTTCAATGAGTGTTGAGCAAGAGGAAGAGATTCTCAGCCAAAGACCCCACTCTGATCTGCACTCAATGTGCTTAGAAAGCCACATTGTCACCAGGGAAGCTGCTTTTCAGTATTGCCCTGTCTTGGAACTCTGACATAACGTCGATTTACTGTCCAGAGCCAGTGAAGAATGTGCCTGCTTTGTCAGGCTTCATCCTCTGCCCTTTCAAATGTGATATGATTCATGGGAGGACCCTCTCAGTTTTTTCTTTTTTGAATACAGGCAGCTTGTGCTTATGAAGCAATGTCTGTTACTATACTCAGCCATGGTCTGAGTGGTCTTGAAAGCCACACAACTTTGTCTAAGTGTGTGAAGTCACAAGTGCAGGGAAGTGAGTGAGTCTTCGCTGTGTTTTTCTGGTTTGGTGCAGACAGACAATGCAATTGGATTAAAAGGTCAGTGAGAAGAGGACCTGGATACTTTATGGGCAACACCCTGGCTTACTATAAGTGTCTGTCTTGCACAAGATATGTAGCATGCAGAATATTTAGTGCTGCATCTGCTTAATAATCATAAGACTATTGCGGGCCTTTTGCTTGGAACAGTTTTCCTAGAAAAAGTTCCTTTTTTTGAAATTTGCCTTTAATCCTTTTTTCAAAGGAAATGATTTAGACGCCCAAAGACATATGAACTAGTTTTTGCACTTATGTACCCAATTTTGGGATATTTCAGAGCTCTTAAATTCTTCTAGCCCTGGTATAGGTACCTTTGCACTTCTATATTGGAGCAGATGTTTCTCTTTCCACTAAACATCTATGATGGAATCATATGTCCTCTCGAATGATTGGATACAAGAAAAATGAACTTTTATCGGCACATAGCGGTGTTAGGTTCATGCTGAAAATTGACTCCATGCTGTTACTCAGTAAGGATGAAGAAAAGATTCTACTTTGTTCAGAAATGCTTTTCTACTTACAAAAATTCACCACAGGCATCAGCTTACTTCATCTCTGTGAACTTTCTCAGAACCAGCTGGGTTTTTAGAGAACATGAATGAGCCTCTTCGTTTACTACAAACCATTATGTTGTTTGTTTGGAATCACCAACCAATACCAAAACTCTTCAGCACCTCCCATTCCCTGCTCTTGTAAGCCAGAAACTTTTGTGACGTGTGTCTTTTGAATTTGAAGAGGGTAGATGGGAAGAAAATGATGCTGCAGGCCTTAAATTATACTGAAACTGAAGATAAGTAATGACTGTGCCTTGGGGCCACTGACTTGCTTGCTGTTGCCCAATCACCATTGTGTTTTGTAAATGTAGTCAAGTTTTGGCTTGCCAATAATCCTGGTGGTGAGCCATCACCTTGGAGGGAAAACTAGGAGCCATATGCACCCAGATTGACTGTGATATCTCTTAACTGTCCTTTTTTAAATGCTTTCTTGCACCCTAACTTTCAGGAGCTCGTCATTATTTTTCTTATTTTTAAAAAATCAGACCAGCTTTGAATATAGCCAGCTCCATTTTCATACATTTCAAATCTCATCTAATTGTTGCAAATTCCAGGTTTTGCCTCTCTGTTATGTGCCCCCAAAACAGTATCCCACTTGCTTACAGTACTGTCTCCTGCCTTGTTAAGATGTTTTCTTTGTCACCCATCTCTTCTCCCTAACCTGGAGATTGGTCATGACTACTTTTTGTGAATTTGAGCCTGTTGGACATTGATGAGCCTGTTCCAGGCTGTTTCTCCTTAGAGCGAAGATAGTTTGCCACACACATGACTCTTTGTATATCATAAAAGGATACGGTAAAAATTCATTTTCATAAAAGTTTCTTTTTATCTCTGCTTTTGGAAGATGGATCAAATATAAAGGAATGACAAATGCGGTTGGTTAAAACTGCTCTTTCATTAACTGTGCTATGAAAACCAGTTGTATGCTTTGATTTTCCAGAGGCATGGTGTTCTTTCCACATGGCCACTTGGTTGAGGCCCACTTCAGTTTTAAAAAAAGGAACACGTGAGAAGTTGGGAGTGCTCTTGGGCTTATTGCCCAGTTTTATTCAAACTGTTTTATACATTGAACTCTTGCTTGGTGCTTGTTCTGAGGCTGCAGTCTGAGTACCAAATTACAGAACTGGATTGAGGGGAGGGGTTGTATATTTATTATCTGGATATAATCAGTTAAATGTCTACCAAATAAGGTAAAGGTGGAAGGAAAATAAGACATGTGCATAAATTTTAACATGGCTTGGATTTTTCAAAGAGGCACCTGGATACATACAAACTACCAGAAAAAGTTACAGGACCTGCCTCACTTTCTCACTCAATATGGCCTGGTAGCATGGAGGACTGCATAAGCATATCCTTTAATTTTTTTGGCTTTAAGGTCAAGATATTAATTGAGGTCAATTCTAATCTGAATTGTTCAGAAATTGCCAGTGAGACACTCCCACCCCACCCCCTGGAAATCTCAGTAAAGCCAATCAGTTGTACTTAATAATAGTCTCCTACACGAAAAGTAAGAAGCATTCCAATTTCTCCTTACTGAGAGACAAGGTCACAATCTAGAGCAAGGCTTTTTAAACCTTTCCACTCGGGACTTCTCTTGGCCCAAGAAATTTTTCCAAGACCCCAGATATATAGGTATATAAAACAAGTATGAAATCAAACATTAACTGATAACAATATGCAAGGCTTACAAGGCTGATTTTCCTTTTTTATGAAGTATAGCTGAAGCATCTTCTGCAGAGTCCATTGTCAACACTGCATAACTGAATCATGAAAATATCTAAAGGTTATGCTATTAGGTTATGTTCATTAAAAAAATTGGGACCCTAATATTGAACTAGGGAGCCCCCGGTGGCACAGTGGGTTAAACCGCTGAGCTGCTGAGCTTGTTGACCGAAAGGTCATAGGTCCGAATCTGGGGAGCGGAGTGAGCTTTGTTGGGAATCAGGAGCTGTTAGGCTCAAAAATAACTGGAGGTGATTCCACCAAAAATATAGAAGAGTGCAGGATGCACAGTTCATAAGCAGCAGAAACTTAGTGAGCAAGGATTGACTTCCATTCAACAGGATGGAACAGGATTGCAGATCCACAACTCATAGGATCAAAAATAATATGTTTATTAAAGATAAAAGAAATCCATTCTAGATAGGAAAAGTTCTTGGAGCTGTCTAGCTTCACTGAGCTATCTTCTAAGGAAAAGGAAAAATAATAAAAGTAACTATACCTACTACATCTTGCCTTATGTAAGACAATGGCAAGATGCTTCCTCACTCTAGAGAAAACAAAAGGAGAAGAGGCCAGAAAATGGAGACAGGCCACATGGCCAGCCCAGGACAATAAAAATACCTTTAAAAGAGGAAGTTATGTTTCCCTGAAGAGATCACATTCCTAGGTATTCAAAGGGGGAGGAGATACTGCCATGCAAAGACAACCCTCCTTCTTAACCCCTTCTTAAAATCAACTAGCTAGAGGAAATTGGGGAGGAATCCCTCAGTCTATCTAGTCTAACTACTCATTAAGAGCTGGAGACTTGTGCAGTCAGGGATGAAACCCAACAAGCTTCTGCTGTTAGCTCCAGCTTCTTCCAACCTAGCAATTGGAAAACCTGCAAATAGAGTAGATCAATAGGTATTGCTCTGGCGGGAAGGTAACAGTGCTTCATGCAGTCATGCTGGTTACATGACCTTGGAGGTGTTTACAGACAATGCCAGCTCTTTGGCTTAGAAATGGTGATGAGCACCACCCCCCAGAGTCGGACATGACTGGACTTAATGTCAGAGGAAACCCTTTACCTTTGCCTTTTTAAACATTGAAGTAAGGCAGTGGTTCTCAACCTGTGGGTCCCCACATGTTTTGTCCTTCGACTCCCAGGAATGTTAACAGCTGCTAAATTGGCTGGGATTTCTTGAAGTTGTAGGCCAAAACATCTGGGGACCCACAGGGTGAGAACCACTGAACTAAGGGGACTCCATTTGGGGTTGGGACCCACAGTTTAATAAGCACCAATTTAGAGAACTGTGACATTAATTTTGTCAGTCTAAGGCAGGGGTCCTCAAACTTTTTAAAGAGAGGGCCAGGTCACAGTTCCTCAAACTTGAAGAGCCGGATTATAATTTGAAAAAAAAAAACATAAATAAATTGCTATGCACAGTGCACATATCTGATTTATAGTGCAAAACCACTTAAAACAATACAATAATTAAAATGAAAATAAAATAAAATATAAACTTATTAGTATTTTAATGGGAATTGTGGGCCTGCTTTTGTCTGATGAGATAGGATTGTTGTTGTTGTGTTCTTTCAAGTCGTTTCAGACTTAAAATGACCCTGAGTAAGGACTGGGTAAGTGACCTTGGAGGGCCGTATCCGGCTCCCGGGCCTTAGTTTGAGGACCCCTAATCTAAGGACTCTGATGCAAGTCCTGGGCCTGCTTGATTGGAATTATATCCGACTGCGTGGGCTGGTCCATGAGGTCACGAAGAGTCGGAGACGACTGAACGAATGAACAACAACAACATTTTAGAGGGCTTTCTTCAAGTATGTGTTCATATAGTGGCAGCATTAAGAGTTCTTTATGTTGAAGAGCAAGTAGCAGTTTGCAATGGGTTTGGTGAAGATCAGTGTTTAAAGAAGGCAAAACTCAATAGGAACAAACCCATGTTAACCTTGGGATGATTTCTTTCTTTTGGGATGATTTATTTCTTTTGGTACTGCAGCATATAACAGTAGTTATCACATAGACTAATTCTAGGAAGTGTTGCAAGTCAGTTGGACAGCTGGATATAAAAGATGAACACATGTTGATAAATGTCAAGGTGTCAATCATGTTTATTATTTTGGAGGACTACACAGGCACTTGTTGGTATATTTGTGTAATTGACTTTAAAACTAGTTTTCTCCCCTCCGCTCCTGTACATTTTATTTTTGGAATTGCATCCCGAGCCTGCACTACCAGCCCTGTCTCTGGAGTGCAGAACAGTGCCACCTGTCTTAGCTGGCAAGCTGCTTCTGGCCTACAGAGCTAAGCTGGAGAACTTCATAGCACTGTGCCTTTTTGTATCTGGAACTGCACTGAAGATTTGAGGCAAGGACTCCTCCCTCCACAGAAGCATGGGCAAGCTTCAGCTCAGCCTCTCTTGCTTTATCTGTGCCCAAAGCTGCTGTCTGTCTGTGAGATAGAGTTTGTGAGTAAGAATGAGTGTGTTTCAGAGACAGGATGTCTGTGTGTGTATCCATGTGTGAGAATGCATTCAAGAAAATTCATTCTTGCAAACCTTACTGTAATGTGAATGTATCCTGTTTTAGTCTAGTAGAAGCTAGAATAAACTATGTATAATATCATGGTGGTAATCTGTACATATTTCTTCAAATAAACAACATGTAACTTTTAATGGCTCTGTGATGTTTTGTGGACTGTTGAATATTGGTACTATTGGTGTTAAAAAGAGAAAATCTCCTTACATTAGAGGGCCATGATTTGCGGGTCGGATGGCACGCATATATTTGGTACAGGAGAGAGAAGAATGAAAGAAATTTTGGTAAACATTTCGTCCGCTCCTCATTAATCAGAACTTGGGACAGATACAAAAGATATTTCTATTCAAAAACACCCCTTTGGATTTCCCCAATGGAAGCCAAACAGAGAAGGCTTTTGGGATGGACAAAATGGCCAATTTATAAAGAACTTTTAGTAAAAGACTCATCAGAATTGAAATCACATGAAGAAATAAAACAAAGTTTCCCAAAAATTACATGGTTGCACTATTTACAAATAAAAGAACAATATAATCAAGATATAAAGCAAGGGTTTCAAATTAAGGAAGAATTCTGGGATAAATTTCTGAAAACAGAAACAAATTGTATAACAAAGTTATATTAAAAGCTGTTAGAATGGTCAACGGAGGATGAACTGATTAAAAACTGTATGCTGAAATGGACAGAGAATTTTAAAAGATCAATAGCTATGAGTGACTGGGAAATAATGTGGAATAAAAAAATTAAATATACCTACGCAACAGATTTAAAAGAAAATTGGATGAAAATGTTCCATAGGTGGTATATGACACCAGTTAAATTAAACCACATGTACAAAGATGTATCAAAAGCCTGCTGGAAATGCAACGAACAGGATGGGAGTTTTTTCCATCTTTGGTGGAGCTGTGCGGAGACTCAGAAATATTGGAAAGGTATCCATGAAGAAGTTCAACAAATTTTTAATTAAAAATTCCCAAGAAAAGCAGAATATTACTTATTGGGAATTATAGACGGGGATATAAATTTAGACTCAAATGAGGATATTTTATTTATGTATATGACAACGGCAGCTAGAATCGTCTTTGCGAAAGCCTGGAAGCAGAAGGAAATACCAGAGAAGTACTATTGGATAAAAAAGATAAATGAAATTAAAGACATGGATACATTAACTTTTTTATTAAAAAAGAACACAGGCAACCCGGTCAAACAAACAAACTGGCCAATAATTGATGATTATATTGAAAATAGGTACAAAGACTTGTAACTGGACTTAGCTTATAACTAAGAAGTACACAAATTGGACTTATATAAATACAGACAAAAAGAGGCCATACGGGCAGAATTAGATGGAAGTCATTTTTCTTCCTTTTTTTTTCTTTTTCTCCTTTTTGATTTTTGACCTGCATTTTTATATTTTTTGTATTTTTATATGTTTATATGCTTTTTATATTTGTTCCTATATCTCTTTCTATAAGTTTCCTACTTTTCTATCTTCTTGAAAATATTCACCCACTTTCCTTGTAATATTATAATATTTCAATAAAAATGTATTTTAAAAAAAAAGAAATTGCCAGTGAGACACTCCCACCCCACCCCCTGGAAATCTCAGTAAAGCCAATCAGTTGTACCTAATAATGGTCTACAAGAAAAGTAAGAAGCATTTCAATTTCTCATTACTGACAGACAAGGCCACAATCTAGAGCAAGGCTTTTTAAACCTTTTAAACAACATGTAACTTTTAATGGCTCTGTGATGTTTTGTGGACTGTTGAATATTGGTATTAAAGAAACCTGCCGTACAACCAAAAGTGGTGTGTTACATTTCAACAGCTTGTAAATACATGTGAGTGTGGAGAAGAGCAAACCACAGACCACCTACTGCAATGCAACCTGAGCCCAGCCACATGCAGAATGGAGGACCTTCTTGCAGCAACACCAGAGGCACTCCAGGTGGCCAGCTATTGGTCAAAGGACATTTAATAGAATACCAAGTCTGCAAATTTTGTTTTTTGCTTGCTTGTTTGTTTGTTTTTAATGCAATACAACTGTTTTGGTTCGCTCCTGACACAATAAATAGAATAAATATGAACACTGTTATATATTTATTGTTACTTCTCTTGAATATTGAGAGGAAAGAAGAGGAAAATAAAATTAATAAAAATTATTTAAGGTCCAGGAATCTTAATGAGGACCACGGGGACTCTGGTGGGGACTGAAAAGGAGATTAGGTTGCCTCATTCTAGGAACCAAATATTTAAAGAGGATTTTTACACCAGTAAGCAACAGAAGCCTCTCTCTAATCTAGATGTAGACAGTCTGATATCCAAAGCATATTTGCACTACAATGTTCATAAGATCAGGCAGCATGGCAATAATCTGAGACTGTAAGCATTATAATTCAAAAGATGTGGAATGTACAGCCAGTCTCATGGAAAGCAAATCCCGCAGCTGCTTCTTATACATGCGTAGCTTATTTTGCAGTGCAGTGGATAAACCAGGGATACATGAACACTACAAAATGATAATGCTATTATTCCACGTTAACTATCATGGTTCCATCATATGGAATCTTAGGACCGGCAGGATTAGCAGGGTCATTCACATCCAGGGCACACCAGTGCTTCACTAAACTACAAATCGTAGAGTTACATAGGATGGTTAAAGTGGAATAATAGTGCTATATAGTTATAGAGTGTGAATGGGTCTGTGGAACTAGGGGGGCTTCCAGACAGGCCCTATATCCCAGGTTTCCTGTTTATCCCAGATTATCTGTCAGTGGGGATTCATATAGTTCAGTTTAAAGCAGAAAACCTGGGATCAGATCCTGGGATATAGGTCCTGTCTGGAAGGAATCTTGGATGCATAAACCAATCATTGTCCTAACTACTTTAGTAGGATTTCCAGATCTTAGGGTCTGGACAGTCTCTGATGGTCAAAATG